CCATTCTACGCTTCTCTACGTTTCGACCCACGCGCCGTACAGAAACAGGGTTGTTCAGAAAAATAGTTCGAATGTGTGCACGGGCCTTCATTGCGACGACGTAGCCGGAGCGCCTCTCCCTCGCCATGTACACCTTCCCGAATTTCCCTTGGCCAAGGCGCCTCCCAATTTCGAAGTCATTGAGCGTCCACCCCCTCCCCTTCTGCCTGCCGCCGCCCTTCGCACTTCCAGGCTTGTCCTGGAAGGTATCAATGCCCAGAACAAGGACGGCGTGAGCTAGTACAACAGCAATAATGTAATTGCATACATGTAGTCTACATTCGACCCGGGAGGGGACAGAGAAGGGGGCTTTGAGTATTTTTGCATCCGGTTGCATGTCTGATAGATATGTAGAAGTTTCATCGTGGCAAACGGTTCAACAAACAGTGGTTTGGACTGCAGAAGTATGGTGTTTATGTTGCGGTCACACGGCAATTCTCATGGAGAGAATCGTAGCGGGTGACTATAACCGCCTATATTGCTGGTTGAATTCTGGCAATAATTTGATTGGAGACACATTCTTAGGGGACTGCTGTCGCTGAAGCACGTTGATGTGAAACACATTCTCAGCATCGAGCCTACACTGACACTTTATCTGAAATGAGAATATCCTAGCATATTACCTTGTCATTCAAGTGATCTCTCCAGAGGAGTCTCCCCTACAGTGGGCGGCCAACGAGTGCCCTTCCCGGAACCAGTGTACTCCTTAACACATAAATTATCCGCTTCGGAACGAGCATTAAACGGCTACTAACTATCGCTGACCCTAACCCTAACCCTAACCCTAACCCTAACCCTAACCCCAAGCCCACACGATACATGCGAGAATGGCGCTTGGTGGTTATGTTCTACTGTAGGCTGATGTGCCATGGCTAACTTCTAGGTTGATATTCCGGGGGCGAGTTCTAGGTTGAAGTGCCCACGGTGGGCACTTCGTGGGTAGTCGATGGGCTGCCCATGGGCCCGCCCATCTCATGATCAGCCCATGGGTGGCTCATGGGCAGTCCATGAAGTGCCCATGGGCGGCCCATGGGCGGACCATGGGCTGCCTATAGATACCCATGGGCGGTTTAGCACAACTGCCAGTAGTGTGGGAGATTGCTACAGAGTGGATTCACCATGAGAGCACGACAGTATGATCAAGGTGATGCAAAATGGCAATAAATCAGGCAAACCAGTCCACAGCCACATGTAGTTGTCAGGTAACCATTTGTGATGGTTCCCAAGCTCTTAACACAGTGTCCAAGCTCTTACACAGCTAGCTGACGTGTTTGTGGTTCCAAGAATCCAGCGAACATCCACAAGCCTTCAACAAAACATCGAAAATCGGGTGTACAGCAGTCTTCCTGCGACGGTTCCGTGTGCCTGCACCATGTCAACAATCAGTCGTGTCACCATCGTCCTGATTTGACAATGGCAGCGGAAATACTTGGGTGTTGTCCTACAAGTGTGGATGTAGGGTTTCCACCATCGCTCTAGGAGTACAATTTGCCCGATCATCACCTTGTTCGAGACCGGACAGCAGCCCTGTACTTGGGTAACGATCATCATGACTGATGCAAGAAATTTGATTGAAGTTCAGGGGGAGGACAAGAACGTACATGGACTCTGGGACGCACACCTGACAAAGTTGTATGACATTTCTCGTGTGTCTGATGGATGATGAGCCTGTTCCCATGGGTAGGCCGAAGCCTATTCACGGGCATGGGAGTAGACCATATGCAACGATCCTGACCTATTGCTCCGCCGAGATCTACAGGCTTAGACTACAAGTCGCAGGCAGCATGGCTAGAGTACAGAGTTGACAGACCTGAACGTGTTGCAGGCAAAGTCCCGCAGGGGGGCGGACCTCTGCTGACATACTGAGCAATCTGAATGCCGATGGATTCTAAGAGAGAACGGCAGGGGTAGTACGAGGTGCCCCCATGTGCCGCTGCAAATTACTACATCAGTACTGTAGTGTGTGAGAATAGCAGCGTCCCGACTACAGCAGTGCCGCTGGTAGTTCTACAGCAGCTTTCGGGCCTGGAGAGTTGTTTTCTCCGGAGTACGCGTCGAGTGCCTCGCGCCTACCCCCTGGTTGAAGTGCATTCTCCCGAGTAGCGGGGCGCGCCGGCGTGTCAAAAGTGTCATCGTTTGGGCATCATTCTCATGCAGGGTGATCTGCTCGTATGCAACTTACCGCTGTTGACATTTTGTATCTGGCGTGAATCCTGTTGATCCTGCAGATCTTCGCGAGCTCCAGTTTGCAAGGCCTTACTGTTGTTGGAGTGCTCTAGTGTCGTCCGTGAGGAAAAGCAAGAGTCCAAGCTTTGTATTCAAAAGAAGTAATGGGTTTGCTCGTGCTCCACACGGGTGTGCCGACGGTGTGTTGTGCTGACACTGTGTGCACAGTCTGCACAGCAGTCAAAGGCCAGGGGCGGCCATCGCTGGGTGGTTCTCGTATCTGTTCGGGATGAATATAAAGGCGGCGAAACATCGAATACGCAAGCGGGTGATGGGTTCCACTCCATCTCCTGCTGCCTACGACATGCCGGCGCATCTGTGTACCTGTAGAGACTAATACCGGAGACGAGTACAGGAAAGAACCTGGGAGTGGGGGGGGCTACTACCGTAGTATCGCCGGTCTCGAGGCCTCAATCAAGGGCGGCCGACAGCAAGGTCGGAGGATACCCTGTATCTTTCTGCCAACGCAACAGGTGCGGGGTCATTGCGGGGTTAGGGAGCGCTCTAAAGCAGCAGCCGGGATGAACTAGAGCCAAAGAACGCTCACGGAAATTGCTCATGCATCTGTTTCAGCCGTAGTAAGCACTTCAAAGTCAAAAACCTGAAGCATCTACATCTGGGAATTGTCTCCCATTGGGGGACGTTCTATTGCCTATTGCGCAGGTAATTCCTCGCAATTGCATCAGCGGCGCAGGCGGGACGCTCGGATCCAGATCAAAACGTGTCCAGTTTGTCGCCCGGGAGCGGTGTGCAGATCCGTGCGTGAGCAGTACGGGCCGTGGTCGCAAGGTGAGTCCATCTACGACCGAGTCAGCAGAAGCGTATCGAATGCAACATCTTATTTCAGTTTGTCCTCAACTGAGCCCCCACGAACTGAATGAGACTACATGGTCCATGTACACAGCAGGACCGTAGAGCTATTCAAGGCCGGTGTTCCTGTTGAAGGCCGATGAAATCTCTTGGCACAGATGGAAAATTCATGCTGTCTCACAGTCTGAAAAGTTTCACGTGTCCGATATAAGGGCAGGATTTTCCCTTTGATCATGGAGAACTTAAACAGGGACATCTACTGCTGTACATGAATATCCGCGAGCTCCAATTATTGTCTAGATTGTGCAATAAACGAAATAACGCACAGCAGTAAATGTAGACAATGCTCGAGATTTCGAGGATTTTTCTCGTAACCAATCAGGTCTAAGCCCAACTACTCAAGAAAAGACACCCCCAGCAGAATAGAACGCCCGGTACTAATAATCTCAAACACGGAGCCGAAAAACTACCGGGGTTACATAAGATATCACCCCCCCCCAAGAAGAATTTAACACGGGGCCGATGCTACCATCACCCCAGCAACGACGTAAAGCACACGCCAATGACCCAGCAGGGAACACGAGAAACAATTCCTCTGAGTGCGGGTGAACCATCCCGAGTTCGATGCAAATAATTGAGTGTTATTTGTGCCTCCCCGGCCTTCTTGCCGTACTCGCTTTTGTGCAAGCTGGTGGTAGTGATGGATAAATGATTATTCACTACATACATGGCAACCGTTTCCTTCACTATTGCCGAGAGAGCGTTGTCGGCTTCTGTCGCCGGGGTCATGTGATTATCACCTCCCCTTTACCATCACCCCCCGCCCCCCACCCCCCTATTCTCCAAACGATTGGTGTCAGTGCAATCATCCGCTCAGTCCACACCCTCCCAGGACGGCAGAAGTGCGGTTGTTCTTTCATGTAGAGTATTACACCCCCTCCATACCATGCTCCCTGCATGTGTGGCCGCAGGCACGGCAGGTTGTGCTTTGCAGGAGGGGGTAATGCACTCCCACACAACTTCAGTTCCTCGTATTCTCGGTTCCTGCAGGTGTACGGTATTGGTATCACACCCGCTGGTTCCAATACACCCTTGTTTGCTCCCGCTACCCCCTACAGAACACAACACCCATGATGAACGACAATATGCTTTATCCGGGGTGTGTTATCTTGTGTCGTATACGGTACGTGTCATTTCGATATTTATTCGGCGCGTCTGCCTCACGCGGCGACGGTTCCTTTCTCACCCTACCTTCTCAGGGACAAGCCCGGGGCTCGTCAAACATCTTACCGCGAATGCCCGAGAAGCGCTCGGCATCCGTAACACGTCGCTATGATTGTTTAGCAACGGAGTTGAGCGGACCGGAAATCACAGATGACATCGTGCGGTCTCCTCGCACGAACGGCGCGTGTCCATGTGCTCGAACTCCTACCTCCCGCACCAATTGACCGCATGGCATGAAGCGGTGGCTGTTTCACTGAAAACACGCATGTAGCCCTTGAGAATACCGCATTAGCTTGGTATTTTTAAGCGCGTCCTACTACCGGGTGGTTGAACCATTGTTTGACGCAGTCACGGCAAACAAGTTCACCCAAGACCTTCATACCCTTGGGTTTCCTTTCTTTCTCTGATCGAGGTCGAGACTCATCGCCTCCATCACTGCCGAGTGTAAAAGTGAAAATATCCTCCACAGTATGTCAACCATAGATTGCCCGCTCGCCTCATTCTTATCCGCAGGCGCACTATCATCGACTTCAATGATTGCATTCTCCATTTCTCCCATTGTTCATCTCTTCTCGACCTCTACCCGTACTGCTGTCTTCGCGTACCGCGCTCGTCAGAATCAAGTGCTGGACAGCCGCCGAAACAAAACCGTCACTGTGGAACCGGCGGAAACCTTCTTGCCACAGCCTGTCGAAGTAGCAATGATTATCTCTCGACTGCTGATCATTGGGCTAGGAGTATCGTGGATCCTGGTATTGTTGTTGATCCGAGGGGCCTTCGGCGCCGATGCAGCGAGCGTGCCGGTACCTGGTTCCGCCAATGCCAACCCTCAGCCTAGTGCTGCCCAATACCGGATGTCCATGCTCAAAGAAGGACTCGAGTTGCACCTGCGGGGGGAGCACGCAGGTGCGGCGAGGGCGTACTCGCGGCTGCTAGAGGTGAGTTGTGCAGTGGGCGGAGATTAACGTATGGTTGAGACATGCGCGCCCTATGGTAGCGTCGAAGGTACCGAGTACGAAGCCGTCGCGGTGGAATAAATGTTTCAATTCAAGTTTCGTCCTTTTCTTGTGAACGCAGGTCATACCCAACGATCCAGACGGACTACACCTGCTAGGTCTGTCGCTATATAGCCAAGGGATGGTCCTACGAAGCACCTCGGGCGACGGCGACTCACAAGGCATGCAAGACCACCTCATGGTGGAAGTTCCCTCATTACTGTTGCCTCTCTCAGAGCTCATACGAAACAGTTCCGCCAAAGACTCGGCGTCGACTATAGGTGCTGCGCGGATGAAACCATGGATATCATAGACATTCCATGGATATTACAGATACTCTTCGACCCAACCGTGGCAACAAGCTGTCGCGTGACGAAACGCAACCCACCAGTTCCGGACAAGATTATGGCTTCGTTTCAAGAACACTGTTTACTACCAACACAACTTGAGCTCTGTGGTGTCGGGTCTCCTCATCAAGATTAGAGTCTTCGTGTTTTCACAGGCATCTGGTGCTCTGCCGTTGTCGAGATGTAGTATCGTTGTTCTGGCGTACATGATTCAATTCGCTTCTTTCCCTATGTTCTCATGTTTCTTATGCTGAAGGCTTTGGTCTCTTTTGTTTTTTCCCTACCCACCCTTCTCCCAACTCTCATTATCTAGCTTTCCTCAATGAAGCTGACCAGCTCGTGAGGTCGGCTATTTCTGTGACGAACATAAAAAAAAACGAGTTATCAATGAGGAGCAACTTGGGGGAAATCCTTCGGGCAAAGGGAGACTTGGAGGAAGCGGAGGCGGCGTTGAGGATGGTCATAGATGAACAAGAAGCGGCAGGCGTGCGGGATCATCAGGTTCAGACTACTACACCTAAAGACTTCTGAACGTTATAGTCCATTATGAAATTCCTGCTGCAGATAAACTCAATGGATAGCGCTGAGGACATATCTGGGCGTCTGGGCGAGACTTGAACAAGTTCGTATGCTCGGCGTCCAAGATCGCTTAATGACGACCGAGAGTTGCAACTGTTCAGAGAGCATATCTGTACGAAGCAGACAATGACTATGTTGTCGGGCGAGAGAAGAGATTGCGGAGCAAACAGCCGACACCCCTTCGTACTATTGTACCCATCGAAACTCCTTTTGACACCTCAGGTCCAGATTGGTCCCCGTTCGTTGACTGAACATTGTTGCCAAGCTCGATGGTTGACTTGCAACTGTCCCGTGCGGTCGTACTTGACTTGCGTTCTTTTCCGCAGGCGTCGTTCAACCTCGCCGTCACACTCGTTGACATCATCCGCCGAAACGATTCCTCGCGAAGGCATCGACTAGTGTCTGAAAGCCACGCCGAGGACCTTTCCGATGAGATGTCCGAGAATAACCACGATGAGTGGTTGAAGCGATGGGAGGCCGAACACCTACTCAAACTGTGAGAGAGCTGCCCTTGATGTTGTCTGGGGATCCCAGCGATTTGGGTGGTAGGCTTGGGTGGAACCCTGGCGTACTGTATGTGGCGGGTAGTACCTTTCGCGGGTTGTCGGTGGTTAACTCGTGAATCCTCCAAACCTTTTGCCGGCGTCTCACGTTTGACCAACCACTATTAGGGATCTATCCAACCGCCCGGACAACCGGCGATCGATGATGGACCTGGTGGTGGTTTTGAAGAGCAACTGGGATCTCGATCCACACATGGAGCGAGTTCGGGCCGGCGCGAGAGAAGGAACTCGTCCCGATGAGAGCATCGAGGGCAAAAGTGGCACACTCTACAATGGAGACAACGATCGTTACGGGAATGCTGTTTCTCAGGAGGACGAAGGACAGCAGCGGAAACCCGGTTGGGGTGAAGAGGCCTTGGTTTGGCTCAACCGGGCGGTGAGAGACGAAACCCTAGCCAGCATTCAAGCGTTACAACGTACGATGGTGATAATATTGGTCGGAGTTGATGTGGACTGTACAGCGATACCCGTGTGCCCAAAGTTTCCCATAGTGGCAAGAGCATCGTAGGCGATTCGCGAGCAGTACTGACGTACTGACCTTTTGTACGTGCCGGTGTCTTGTCGACTCAATCCGATACCGGCGTGATTTGAAACACCGGCACCTTTTGCAATGGGTAGCCGCTTGGCGTGCCTGTTCGAAGTGGCGCTGGATTGGCCTAAATAGCACACCGAAGGGGTAGACGTTTTGCCGCCAACGTGACCGTCATTGCTCACTTTTAGCGACTTTGGTACTCTCGACCTCGATGCGCATTGAACCGTTCTGATCATCGCGTGCGCCAGCTTCTTCTTGATCCTTCGGATGCGAGCGTTGCCCTGGAAGTCGCTGTTGCGTTGCACCGCTTAGGGAGGACCGAAGAGGCAGGAAGCCGACTCACAGAGGTAAACCGCCCCAAAGGGATCCCTTCCATTGAGATGAAGTGCTTACAGGTCGAGATCAATCGTAGAGTGAAGCTCCTCAACCACAGTCTGGCTACTCACAGCTATCGGGAGGGGAGTGTGCGGGATTCGTGTAGTACGACCTAGTGGAGACCGCGTAGGTGCAACAAAACGTTTTTCTCAAATCCGATTCCGTTGCTTCTTCCGATCCGGTATTGAATGTTTTGGTAGAAAAAGGGACGGGGATGATAACCTTGTCTTCGCAAAAACACCACCATAAATAGGTTGGGCATTATGAACCTTGAAGCCACCGAAAAATGGCAAACGAAAACAAGTTTGTGCTTTCCGTTGGAGAAGAAAACCGCTCGAGATGTGATTAATCTTTGCTGCGTTTTCTACAAGACAGGTTTTGGAAATGGAGGGAGGACAACACGGAACTACCCGCGACTTCGCAAGGTCTAACTTGGCTGTTTTGAAGCAAGAAAGCGGAGACATACCTGGTGCCATCGAGGGATATCGGGTGGTCTTGGCGTGAGTAACGGCTCTGTTGTGGCTGTTCTCACTGCTGCTGCCACTGCTGCAGTAGCTGCTGCTACTGTTGTCGGGATCCGAGTTGTTGCAGGCGTCTTGACTGTTCTTGCGTCTTCCGTTGCTGTTTTTGCCGGTAGTTTCGCTGTTGTTGCTGCTTCTCTTGGTGTTGGTTGTTGAAATTTTCCTGAAGCCCTTCCGTTAGAAAGCGTATCCTAATCTTTGGATATGTCTACCTCAATGACCCTTCCTCGGCGGGACAGGATGAGGCCTCGGGAATGCTGCTGGCGGCGGCGGACGTGGTACGGATTTGGGCAGATCTTCTTTCCGCATTCCTTGCATTAGACGACTCCATGATCCTCTAGTCTCTGTACACAAACTGTACTTCTTGCATTATGTCGTTTTTCTCGCTAAAAGAATGCTTCCAAGGAAAATAAATATCCATGGTACGATGAAGTGCGTAAGCCACGCACTTCACAAGAACCGTCATTTCGTCTGTCTGATGCGCTCAAGACTCTATAACGCTCATCTTTCCGCCAAACGTGCGGTGACACCCTTTGATCTCATTGTTGTCACACAGGGAATCTCCAGAGAACTCTGTTGCGCTCAACAATCTAGGAGTGGCGCTCCTGGCTCTTGGCCAGCAGGACGAGGGGTTGTCCATGCTGGAAAAGTCCTTCGAGCTCGACCCCTTCGAACCGGACGTGTTGGTCAACCTCGGTATACACTGGCAAGAGGACGGGGATCTAGATCGTGCTCGGTCGCTCTACACCAGGCAAGCGTGAAGAAGCCCCCCCCCCC